GTCGAACCCTGTATCGATTGGCTCGCGATGACTTTGTGGCTCAGTCATTTGTTCGTCAAAACCTAATCCATCTTTTCGGACTCATGCTACTTATGCGACCGGACAAATCCGTGGTCGAGCCCAGACTACCAACACCGAATGTGGTGATCACGTGTGCCGAGTCGGACGACAAACCACCGTGTGTTGGGTCTCAATCTGCTCGGGACCCGTGCAGCTCATTGGACCGTGGATTGAATCCGCTGGAACAGTTTCATGTAAGCAATTGGATCACGTCGTATTGTTGCTATATCCAAGGGGCGTGGGTTGTTTCTCTTCGTCGTTTGTCGATACCGTTCTCACTGATTATTCTGGAAGAAACAAGCAACAGAACTCGTTAGTTTGACAAATCAATCCGATAGAATGATGGCCATCGTTAGTTGTTTCCAATTCTATTGGGACCTACTTATTTTTGTTAAGTAAAAGCCAGTGAATCGCGTTAGTCCATGAGAGTATTTTCAAGTATATATATGTATATATATTCGTTTGTATTTTTTAGTACATAATCACCTATTCAGTGTAGGTTATCGTTGGCTCACAGTTAGAATATGAACACAATGTATCCAGAAGTTATTATCTTTAAAGGTAAAAATTTTGATGGCAAACCGATTAACGTGTTGGTATGTTTTTCTTGAAGATTCCACTGCTGAAATCTGCCTGAACAGCTTAGGGATCACGTGCGGGACTTATATTTGGGTTTGAGTCACTACGGGCTTCATTTCCTAATTTTACATTGACTACCCAGTCCAAGTGCCTCAGGGAGTCGACTGCTGTCTGACTTCTGGCATTCGGATATTCATCGTCAGAGACAGCTGGATGCTGCATCATGTGCTGTTGAATCTGCAGTCTGGCCATGCAGTCTGATACAAAGGTATTTTATTGATTGGTTTTTATGATATCTGTTGCTTTATTAACCAGATACGTGTAAAAAGTGGACGAGAAAAAGACGAAGTTTTGTGATTGGTTGTCACGGATGTACACACTGCGCGGACTTGGTTGACTTACACTACAAGTGGTCACATGCTTTTAGTAATTTGTTGCAAACCCGTGTACACGTGGAACTCTCAAATGTTGGCGTGCGTACGTACCGCCTCACCAGTATCCTAGGCTCCGAGGTAGGGATTTGAGTTTTAGCTGAGTAAAATCTATTTTTATCGCAGATAAAATGTTTGAGCGATGCAAACGGCTCGATTAATGATTACAAAGTGTTCGGTATAGCTTAATAGTCGACCCGAATAAGTCAAACATGCAGACAGTTTTGGGGAGCAATGCGTCCTCATATACCACTGAGCAATTTTGGTGTGATGAGTGGTTTGACTGTGGGGCTCATGTAGTGCATTGAATCGAGTCATGAATTATGATCTTTCGTCAGTGAAAACGGGAGAATGCCGCACGGTTAATGGCGTTCGAAGTCAGAACAGGGAACTTAGATATTGATTGAATATTCCCATCGTGGTATTAAGAAATGTGGCGGACAAAGCTTGTTTTCGAAAACTTCCTCCTCAGGCTAATATAGTTATGGTTCAAAATTGTCATGTTAGTGTAATGGTTAGATGTGATGAATATGACTGGTTGTTTGTGATCTTATGATGTGTGGTTTGGTAATGAGAGAGCGGTTTTTGTTGTTACTGTTGTGTGGTTCGGAAATGTTCACAGTCGGTGGATAGAGTGAGCTGATCCATTTCCGGTCTGTGCCCATGGGTCATGACAAAGGTCAGGGTCGTTTCGGCCTACTGTGTCAGGTTGAGACAAGGGTATGCGAAGTGACTGAATGAATCGTTTTTGAGAACAACGGGATGGATTGAGCAGACGAATGGTCACCGCCTAGGCTGTAGCAAGGTGTCGCTAACGAACAGCTTTTGATGGTACTGGTACTTTTTAAATCACCTTGAGTGCGTCATCGATTGCTTGATGCCCCGTGTCTACAAGGTGTTCTACCACTGCACTTGTAATCGTTTTCCTCATGCCCGTAATCAGTCATGTCAGTTTGTGCTCCTTGATTCTTTGAGACAGTTGCCTGATCGTTCTTCCTACATAACTTGCCGAACATGAGCAATGAAAATGGTAAATGATCATAGATGAGGAGGGGATAGGTAAGGTATCTTTAAGATTTACGGAAACCATTCGCGTAGCAGCAGGGAAAGTATGAACGATAGTCTTTTCTAATTGGCGTCTCAGTAACTCAGATTTGTAATCTCCTTTGAAAGGTAGTTTTATGAAGAGTTCTTTTCTTTTCACTCTTGTCAGTGGTGCTCTCGGCGGTCGTTCTGTCAAATTCTTCAGAACGAATCACTCCAGATTGCCGGTGTCAAACAGTGTTTGCTTTATACTTTCCAGTTCCTGGGGCAGACAGTCTGCTGAACGAATTCTCCTTGCTCGATACTCAATGGTTTGGACTAGGTTTCGCTTGAGTTTCTGAGGCACAAAACTGGCAAAATTAGAGTATTGCCCAGTCCAAGTCGGTTTGCGATAAACAGAGCGTTTTATCACGCCTCCTTGGCATCTTGTGAGTTTTACATCTTGGAAGTGAAAATTATCTCCCGCTTCTAATTCGGACGTAAAACTGATAGCGTTGTGGACATTATTGAAGGTACCTGAAGTGGATCTATTTGTCTCTGATTTTCGATCAAAATGAAAATATCATCCACATAACGACAGTAGAATGACACTCTCTTTATTGTGTTTTGTAAGACCCCATTTTCCAGTTTGGCAACAAATATATCAACCAATAGAGGTCCAACTGGTGATCCCATAGCAACACCGTCCGTTTGATGATAGATCTCTCCGTTAAAGCCGAACTGGATGTCGTATGTGTAACGCAATAATAACTCTTTTAAATTATCCGCTGGGATACAAATATTGATCTCATTCTTTCTGATATAGTCACATAGGTATGTTATTGTTTCCGAAAATGGCACATTTGTCAACAATGAAGTCACATTCAAGGAAGCCATCCGTACTCCGTCCATGTTTTTCTCCTTAATCAAGTCTATGAATTCAAATGTGAACTGTGAACATTTCCGAACCACACAACAATAACAACAACAAAAAAGCTGCCCTCTCATTACCAAGCCACACATCACAAGATCACAACCAACCAACCATATTCATCACATCTGACCATTACACTAATATGACAATTTCGAACCCCTATATATATAACCATATTAGCCTGAGAAGGAAGTTTTCCGAAACAAGCTTTGTTCGTTACATTGTTTTCCGAACTCAGATATATTCGTACGTGAGACTTTCAGTGGCATCGACGAATCGGGGTCTAGTATCCTCGTAAAATGGCACAAACTCGTGTTTCAAACGACTCGATATCTGGTTGTCAGTACACCTGAATTAAGTTTTTCAGCTTAATGCAGTAAATTTGGTTTACCGCATCGGAACGCCGGGTGGTTTATTAGTCATTCGGTCAGAAGGGATGCACTAAGAGCATTTCATATCCTTCAATTTATCCAGTGTGAAGATTGATTCCACGTCAATGTATCAATCTATGCTGAGACAACACGTGAATATTAAATATCTACGGGTTTGCCAGAAATTGCAGAAAACTGGAAGTGCTCTAAAAGCATTTCATGGTATGATCTGATTCACTCGTTCAAATAGTCGTAGGGCCAGTAATGGAACATAATGATCGACAGATCGGGTGATTCAAATTGATTCAGATGAAACAATTGCGATGTTTTTTTAGATAAATAAAGTAATACATAACTTTGTCGTTGACGCTAGCAATTATGCATAGAATAAAAGCGAAATGCAGAGAGGATTTTTGAAAAAAACGTCTGTAAGCAACTTTAACTTACGGAACCCAACCAAATTCCAGTGTTCCGAAATTGCTGCCCTATGATCAAATATGGTGAAGACGTCTGCATAAAACAATGCTCGTCTGATGAGATGTCCCGCAACGAGTATCCAGAACAGGACAGTGATAAGCCCAACAATTTGCTGTCTGTGTGCCGTGTCGCTTCCGGTGACTACCTTGTCTCATACTTTACAGTTTGATGTGTTGGATTGAAAGAAAGGGGAAAGATCTCCTTTGACCCTACAAGACTGATATTAAGAGTGACACCAGTCGCATTCAACGAATCAATGGGAAGTATAGTCCAGACTGCATAGCACAGGAGATTCGGACTCCTTTCACCACATGAAATTTGTTCCATAACCGCGGTGGGAGGAAATGAATAAAAATAATTTTGCAGCACAATTAACTGAAAGATGCGTATGAAGTCATTTTTCATGCTACGAGATCTAGATAATGCATATGTTGTTGTTGTTGTTGTTGTTGAGGCTCCCAACATAAATTTTGCATTCATAGAAAGCCAAATTCCGTAATTGCCAGCTCGTCGTAAGGTTACCGACAACGAAGATTGTTGCAGTGATAAATCTCGGATCAACCTCATTGGTATCCCAATGAATAGCTTCTAGTAAATCACATTCTATTCAGAAGAACTTTAATAAAGAATGGGAACAATAAATGGTGTAATGTGAAGTTGATCGATCATGTGACCCGCACCATCTTCGATTGGAAAACGGTTCGAGAATTATTTGATGTTGCACAGTTGTATACTGATGTACAGAACTCTCTTACAATCCCTTTTAAATATCCTATTCGAACCATGAAATCCTACTTCATCGTAGTTCATATTCAACCTAATGAAACTTAACCACGAGCCCAACCACAAAATGGACGGTGAAAAGCAGCGGGTGCATGATACAGCTCACAGCCGAACAGGATAAGCTTGTATGGAATAGAAGCAGAGGACACGTGAGAAACAAGTCAACCTGTAGCATTAACAAATAAAGACATGAGAAAAATAACGGCCTGAATATGTACATCTTCGGACTATAGATGAAATGATCTTGAGAGCGGAGATGAAACGGGAAAAGGTAGGGTTTTTATTAATCATTGACCGTGTGAGGGAAAAATGAAAGATGGTACAATCTTTGATGGCGAAAAATAACTAAACTTGATCTGAAATAACGAGTGATGATTATACGGACGAAAAACGAATTCAAATGAAATGACGCAATCTGAGGAATGTAATTTGCTAAAAAAAACATCCAAAATATAGGTCAAATTAAGCGTGTTGTATTGAACGCTCGGTATAATCCGAATGAAAACTAGTTAAACAGCGTAGTGTAAGCAGCGGGAACAATAGTGACGCAACTTTGTGTGTTTGTCGCACAATAGCACCTCTTGTTGCACAAAAGTATGCCAATTTCAGCTAGCCTCTAATTTCTCGTGCACTTCACTATTTGCAAATGTGTTCTGACTAGATAAAGATTGATTATTTCACGTTTTTCGGCTTACTAAAAGTTTTCATTTATTAACACACACTTACACAGGTTGAGATATTTCGTATTCTACGCCGACTCACGGTGTTCGAACGAAATCGGCGCCTAATCAAAACACTGCTACCCGCCTCTGTACTCTCCGTTTTGCTCGAGATGCACCACAAGGATCGACGGAATGAAACTAGTGACTCGGACGAGATTGTTCTGTATGGTTTAGCGAAAAGTTGGAGCAATTTAGAGGTAAGTTGTCTGTCTCGTACATTATCGCTGTTGGAGTTTACCCTAGAACCTGTCTTAGTTTCGTCGAACACACGCTGCGGCTCGTGTTTCAATTGTACATTCAATCAGCAATAAATGATGCCTCATTTGTTGTTTTTGTTTGCTTGAGTAGATGAAACAAAGCTACAATTTTCTCGGTGGTTCAGAAATCTAAACAGTCCAGATTCTTGGAATATCATTGGCGAATCAATCTTTATCAGCTCAAACTCCTTCCGAATGTGAGCGTTCGGATACTGGAGGTCAAACGAAGAACAAGAACTAAATAGGGAAGAAAATAACCGGTAATGACTGCTGTTAATGTGCATAGAAACCTAAAAATGATCTCTCTTTTAACTGCTTGTCGAATGTCGCAAAGTAAAAATTGTTCGTTTCTCAACGAATTGCTTAACCCGTTATTGATACTAGTTCTGCTCCTACGGGATTGGGAAGATAGGTTCCCCTGACACCCGGTGGTTGTTTGGGTTGAGGCCACAAAGCGGATGCGATGAATTTAATCATTAAATCACCGCCTGCAACCAACATTTATAATTTTCAAACCAATGAACTGAGCGCTACTGACAAATTTACGCAAATGTGATTAGAGAACAATGGTAATGTGATCTCCAAACCGAATGACTCCCATTACCTGTTAATTGATTGTGAACTATCCATTAACTGTTTCTGTTTTTAATTTATAACCAAATAGACGGGAACGGTGAACGAAATTAAGGCTTTGTTGTTGCTGTTGTTGTTTATTCGTTCTCTGTCTTTATTTCTAATAAAATTTCACTTTATTGTAACAATGAGAGTACGCGTAAAAATGAAACCTTCAAGGCAACCAGCAGCTGGTTGAATAGATTTGATTGTTTGGGGTGGGATATCCTTGATCAAATACAAAACTGGGCAACTACTCGGTTCCCCTTGGGGTGGCTATTGTACCGACCAAATAGCATATTACACAGATGTTATGCTAGATTGAATACTTCCCTGTTTTTTGATTTGCCTATGTGAATCCGGAAGACGTTGCTAACGTCGTGAACAAAATATGTCTGATATATGGATTCTTAAAACCTAAGTTAAACTGTGAAACATTCGGATTGTGGCTCCTCTCCGTGTGTTCAGGTGGAACTTTGCCCTTCTCCAGTCTAATTTCCCACTACCCGGGTGGCCGCTGTCCCCTGCTCGAATATTAAGTGCACGCTTGTTGCACATGAGAGAAATATAAAGCAACGGGATATGAGGATTATTATTATTGTCATTATTATTATTGTGTGAGTAACCAGGATAGGCTCAAACCAACTTTCTATCACTTGTTTTGTATGATCGAAATTCAATGACTCACCGTATCTGTATACAGCGGAGACTACTTGGCCCACCAAAGCTCCCAGCGGTTACATAGTAAGTGAAGTGTACTGTGAATGTGTCGACTAGGCACGCGGTGAACTGTCGTTCTTCGCGCAAGATAATGTCTGCTTACTCCGATTAGTAACTTGTCAGATGAGTGTGATTTATGAGTGCGAATTACAAAATCCTTGCAGTAAAACAAATAGAGAATACTGATTCTTGCATGTCTATTGCAATGATCTAAATTGTCGACTCACTGGGTCCTTTTATCCAATCCCCTTGCAGGACGAGGAACGCGTTCACATATCCAAAGCTCTGAGTGCGTGTGATTTGTCAAAGTCACCCAAGCATTATATCCGTGAGTACGCTATCACTGAGTTGCTTGGAAGTGGTGCATTCGGTCAGGTGTACAAAGCACGCAAACAAATTCCGGCTCAAACAGTGTACGCCATCAAAGAAGTACGTCTGTATTTTGTGCTTTGAACCAGTTGGTTGTCCACAAGTTTTTAGTCCAAAGGAAATCATCATTGAAATACTGTCAAAAGCGGATAAAATGGGGACATTGTGCGAGCAAATATGTGCATTGAAACATTCCGAACTCTCTCTCTCTCGCTTGGTCTGTCTGCCTCGGGGTCAGATAAGATGGATATCAATGAGTTTCTGTCGGCGGATATGGAGGTGGAATAAATCTGTAATTGAAGCAGCTTGAGCGACTGAATATGCGTGTATACAAGTCGAAGATGTTCACCGATTGTTGGGGACACTGAGTGATATGAGTGAGTGTCGCAAACGGCGGCGCTCATGCATCCACTCATTATTCTCCTAACACCACTCTGTATGAATTCTCTATCTTTCGCTTGAATTTACTTTCAACATTCCAGTCTTTATTCTGCTCTTTTATCCAAATGGGACACCAAAAGATAGTAACCAAAACCGGCACACGAAAGTTCATGGTTAATGGTTGTAGAAACTGAACTGAACTGATGGTTAAGCAATGAGTGCCGTCAGACAACATTTTGTGTGCAAACTTAAAACATGCATCACATGTTCACAACAAATATTGCTTATCGGGACAGATAACGGAATTTGCGGAAGACGTTCAGTCATGGTGCGGTTACGCCTCGGCTGCTTGAATTCAGAAAACCAAGGAAAGTCACAAGGAAGCAGCTAGCTGGTTGTTGAATAAAATATCTCATCCCCGTAATATCAAAGCTCAGATTGCGCAATACTGTTATCTGAAGGCCAAAATCTGTCAGTCACTGTGCAACAGTTTGGGCATGTGAAAGCCAGTGAATGTTACTTTCAGTAGTAATAATTAATGACCTCACATAGTTGATCCTGCTCACCGGCTTTCCTCTACTGTGTGCACTGTTCGGAGGAGGACAGGAGAGTGGAATGTTTTAAAGTTTTCCAGATGATTCAAGGCGTTTTTTCACGATAAGGATTAAGACAGGATAATGTGGAATACTTAACGAGTCGGAATTTGATTGTGCACTATGCTGCCAAGTCCGATTGATTAGATAACTATTTGAATGATATTGACACCAGCACAAATGAAATGTCATACAGGAAGACGCTGGCGAATATCAACTTCACTAAGAGAACGGTTATAATGTTTTTTATCGGATGAACTTCTCATAAATCAATGGTCAAGTGAGTACTAATCCCAATGGGGACATTTTTGTCACTGCTACCACTACTACTCACATTTCCGGTCAGTAGCATTTCGTTGACCTCACATGGAAGCGGTTCGCGGGTTCCTATGACCTGAACCCGAATAATGGATCCCGCAGTGTAGCGGCAGAATGTACAAACAGACTATTGTACCACCGATCGCGAGCGTTTTATGAAAATGTAATCACCTTGTTTCCGATTACATTATTCCTTCTGAGTAATCGGATTTAACCTCTACTAATATTGTTCTCCATACGGGCAGTTCCCGAATTCAGCATTGGAATTTGGAGATTTATAACACTGCAACTTCTACTGTTACGACTACTCGTCTTTATAAAAAGAGTTTTGCAATATTCTTTCTCTTCATCATCTACACCAGCACCTGCGCACATAGATCGGCGTACGTGAAGAATTCAATTGATTTTAATGTGCATGAAATGATGCAATTTCGGGGATACTTCATTTTAACACTAGCATTACCGGATAGTCATTTTTGTGTTTGCGAGTTGATAAATTTTTTCCCATCGGTCTACACGTCCGATAACTTGAACAGGGCCTCAAAATTAGGTGTATGTCTGTCGCACAGTTCGTGCTCTAGCGAGAACAGAAGAAGTATCAAACAGTCGAAAGGTAGGTTGGGTGGTTTGTGTCCTCGTGTCTGTCAGAGCGTTCGACATCGTCGGTAAGCTGTACGAATGGATCACGTTATTTGTCTCAAATCGATCAGCAGTCATTGTCAAGCATGCAGTAGAACCCTATGGATCAAAACTCAGTAACCCAAGACAAACCGTCCAGCTAGTTCACATACATTAAAGCTTGCAAGCATCGCTAAGTTGGCACACTATCAACATTTATAATTATTATAATAGCAAATTCCTCACTTCCATGCAACTGAATTTCCTTAAATCACATCGGCAAGTTAGGAATACGCTGGATTTAGAACATTTACAAGCAGGAGAGCAGTGAAAGCCCAACTCCTTTTGTATAAAGAAGCTCATTATGCACAGTACGAACGAAGCTTGAACCAAAAAAGTTGTTTTGGCCTAATTGGTTCTCATTATCAGCACCAATCCCCTGATCCTACTGAGGATCGAATCCGTGATCTCACTTGTCTACTGGGCAGCTATGATCTATGCCAGATATAGTACAACTCATGTTTGCAAGCTTGTCTCGGATATCGCATCTCGCTCATCTCAGCACTGACCTCTGCCGGAGGGGGCTATGACTCTTTTGGTACAATTCAGAAGCCGGATAGCTTGTCGTATGAGAGTCCTAGAGGATTTGAGTCGATCATATTTCACCATTCAGCCCCAAGAAATCCGTTTTTTTTTTCGGAAGACCGAGACATTGCTGCACAAGCACAGGTACCTATCCTCCTGGTGGGAAACGTTTCTAATGTAAAGACGATTTAAAAAAATTGTATTTGCTGTTGTCTGAAATTAGTAAAATAATAGGGTATTTCACAGCGCCAACCACACATCCGGTTCTCTAATAAGTATGTTCCGAGGAAAGCTTGCTTTTATTCGGTGTCAGCTGAATTAGCAGGATGAGGGCTGAATTTGATCTGCACATACATTCTACGAGGTAACAAGGGTCTGCGGAACGACTGGCCTGAGCTCAAACGAATCACGTGAAGTAGTTAGTGATTTTCATAGATTGTTTTGCCTAGTTTACTTGGCTGGGTTTTTTCTTTCTTTCTACTGTTTCTACTAGAAGATTCTCCTATTTGACTGAAGTTAAGCACGCACCGTTAATTCGATCAACTGGATGAGGAAAGACGAATCAAAAATTGTTCATGCTAGCCTCAGTTCACTTGATGCGATCCGCGCATTGGCTCCGACATAAAGATGCCACGAGCTTGCTCTTCTACACGCTCCCATCTAGTGAACGGGTATCGGACATAGGCTGTCTACTTTTGAAATTGAAATGAGAATCCAAACACAGAAAAAACTCCAACCGCGAGAAAAGACGCGGATTATCCTAATTGCATTTTTCTCTACTTTATCCGATTTCATTATTGTCGCATTGTGATATATATATATATATATCGTTATTTCTCTTGACGGTCTTTCTCACGCAGTTAACTCGAGAGATATCGTAAAAATACTTAGTTCTACCGTTTGACACCGGAAGGAGTGTCTTGCTCCTCTATGTACTTCTAATGCTAATCAACTAGTAAGAAATTTCTCTAGGAGACAGAGCCAGACAGAGCTCATTTCGATCTAATTCAGGATCATGCCATTGATATAATTTCATTGGCGGGATGAAATACGGAACTATGAGTAAGCAAACTAATCCATGATGGATACAAATGGATGGGCATTTTTCCGGGGGCCAAAATGAATACGCGTATATACGCCTGGCTTTGCTTGCCAGCGTCTATCAGTTATCTACTTCGGAACTAGCCATAGTTCTTTTTCATTCAAAGTTCTACAGTGAACTAGCTAACTCCACTTCCCGCGATCCATTGCTCATGGGCATAAAATCGATTCAAACCGTATGAGAATGAATGACCAGAAATGTATTCCTGATACATACTAGTTCTAACTGGAATATATAGAGTGAAGAGGAAACAATTTTACAGCTCCTGGTGCCTGTGAACTCTCGTGGACTTAAACTGAAACTACCACTCTGCAATATTAACGAGAAGGTTTATCAGCGATCTGATTCCATTTGCTTTTTTTGAGTGTGATTCAGCTCACTGTGATATTAACCGACAACCGGGGGGTGGGTGGGTTGACCTTTGGCGGTACTAATTTCCGTCAATGGTTAACCGGATTTCTGCACAGTTACCATGACAACGCACACTGTGGATGGACTTGACAACTGACACATACATATGTGCATTTCTCACGCGGACAGACCGCGAGCTTGGTGGTTTGAACCAGTCCACTCTGACAGTTGCGGATATCCGTTGCCTGCTTTATTTTTATTTCTAGGTCAGCACTACCCAACCGATGTTTGGGCACACGGTCCAAGAAAGAGAGAAGAGCATTGGTCGTATACTGAATGAGGTCAATATCATTCGTCAACAGATGAGACATCCGAACATTGTGCGATACTACAAAACATTTATTCATGGTGAGTCACCACTCAGGTTGTTTATCTGGAATCGTATCGTTTACTCGGAGTGAGAACCAAAATAGCCGGGAAACATTTATGGATTAGATTCATGCGCCAAGATATCCGTCTGTGTATGTGTGGTAATTGTAGCATGCCCTGATCACGAAATACGAGTCACGGACGCAACGTAAGCACTGGATGACACTGTTACTTGCACGCAGTATCCCACCTAACCGAGACGCGAGGAAAACGCCACAGGAACAGCAGTTCGTTTATTGAAAGAAATCAAATGGAGTAACTACTATGTGAAAAACAAATTCATTGGTCATCCAAGTCTGCCAATCGCATGCTAGAATTTCTGGCGTTGTACAGCTTCTGTCTGGGGCGCACGACTTCTGATTGGTCGATCTATGGTTCGTAGTCCAGAAGCTGTGACACGTACGCGCTTCGTTGACACCACCCAGGAAGCTTGATTAATCACAGTTGTGCAAAAACTGTAACTTGTCGCTCCGTGGTGTGCGTCATCTCGCAGGCTAGGATCACCGCAGTATGCTTGACCGGACCGATTCCGTTCCAGATTGTAACAAGCAGACAGACGTTTATTGGGTCAACCGAACCATTTTGATTTTGTGAATGAAACATAACCACAGACCATCCTGACAACACAAGATCCACGTTCCTACCCTTGCGTTCCACCCCTGCTTTGACCGTTCTCTGGAAACTGTTGTCTTTGTTCCCGTTGTGTCTCTCTGTCTCTGTCGCATCGTGTCGCTCCAANAAGTGTCCCCCGAAGCACAGGGTTCCACAAGGATCTGTACTCAGCCTGCGACTTTTCCTAAAATTCATAAACGATCTACCGGAGGCTCTTGGGCCAAAATCATTACCGTTTGCAGATGACGCCTAAATTCGTAATGCAGTAACGCAACCAGCAGACCCACTAGCACTCCAGGAAACACTGAAAGCGGCTCGTTTCCAGTCTCTGTTGAATTCCATGTGTCAAAGTGTAAGGTTCTATCTCTACAACACAAGGGGCGATTTTCGTAATACCCGTAAAATGAACAACTGTCACATGCCTNGAGAAGGAACTGGGCACCGTCACTCAAGAAGATTTAAGCTGCTCACTCAACTGCACTATGGTGTCGAATAAAGCTATAAAGAATGCCGGTTAGCTTAGGCGTATCTTTGGCCGGTTTCAGTTTGCGTTTTTCCCCCGTCTGCTATCGGCATACATTCGCCCACTCCCGGAGTACGCTATCCAGGCATGGAATCCATGGCTGCAACGTGATTACAAAATGCTGGAGCGTCCACAAAGGATTGTGACCAAAATGGTTGAATTGTTATTCCTATGCAGAGATCCTGGAGTCGTTGAGGCTATATCCCAATCACTACCGGCACATCAAAGGAAACATGATTATGCTATACCAAATAATGTAAAACCGAAGCCATCCGTGGTCCCCGTTGCTAAAACTATCACCGAACGTTCATCTTAGAGGACATCCGTTCAAAATGCCGGCGTCAGTCAGTCGCAGTCAGAATGTGTTCGGTCTGGAACGTCGTCTGTGCGTTAAACATTGAATGTATCATACTGAGACTTGATGAGACACTAGCACGCCTTACTTTCCAACATAAGTGAACCTGCGTGTAGCTGTGTAAGAAACCTTTATCATTAGACATTTTTACACTCGAGATTGTATGCAACACTGTCTTTTAACCACAACACGAATATATGGGACGAGAACAGTATGAGCTTGTAAGTTATGCTCATAATAAAACTTTGACTTTGAACTGCAACTCTCGGTCTGGAGCATCGGGAGACTCCTTTACCTGTCACTAGGGGATTTTGATCTGTCTAATGCCGTCTCTGTGTCCAGTTCCTCGATTGGTTTGGGTCACCAAGTCGATCACCTGTCCCATTCATTGCGGCAGTGGGGGTTCAAGAATTCAGAAAGCTTGTTTGTCCGTTGCCGTTTTCGAACAAATTTCCCTTTGATCGAGTGTATTTTTCGGATTATTGTATGATTCAGAAATACAAGCCTCGTGCAGATAAAATGTGGAAGACTAGACAAAGACACTACTACTTGAGGTGTTCGGCTCCAGTCTTGTGAGACCACTGGATCGGCAACAGGCAAATTTACACCCCAGAATGGTCAGGATACTGCTACTCGTGTCTCTCAAGTGAAATCTGCCTTTTCAGCTTCGATCGTTTGTTGTCTATGCACCCAGTGTTCGTTAAAACCCGGTAATGATTGACAAACATGCAAATACTGTCCTTTCGCGTTCTGAATAAACTGTACCAGTACTGTGGTCAAGCCGCCAAATCCTGTCAGTCTATGCTTGTGAGAATCACTTCGTTTTGTTATTAGGTGGTACGTTTGCACGCTGTGTGTGTGTGTGGGGGGCACTTGAGGATAGTCGTGTGGATTTTGTTGCGTCAGGATGAGAGACGTTTTCTTTCAAGTTTTGTAAAGTTTGTCAAACATGATATATCTCTGTTCATCATCCAAATACCTTATTTTGTTCTACCAAAAACAACCTTAATTCTAGTTAGCCTAATGAACAGGAGTTGCCAATACGGCTAACCAACATGTATCCTTCCCCTCCCCCTCAAAGTTTCATTTAAAATAAATTGCTCTTGTTAGTGTTTGATTTTGAAATGGCAAATATCGCTGTTGAAACTCGAAATATTTACACCATTCACATAATCACACACCCAGACAAAGTAGGTCGTATCCGTCTGGTAGTGTGAGTTGTTACAAGACAGCTGAGTGAATATCAAAATTTCAAATCGACCCAGTTAAATAATCGGTTTTCCGCCTATGGAATTTGCATTTTTCTCGTTATTTCTATCTCATTTTCATTAAACCAGATGAAAAGTTGTACATTGTCATGGAAATGCTCGACGGACTCTCCCTGACCGAACTGATCGGTTCAATGCGAGACAAAGGGGAACGGTTTGCGGAATCACGCGTGTGGCATATCTTTATTCAACTAGTCGTTGCACTGCGTTATTTGCACCGCGAGAAAGGAATCTTGCATCGGGATCTGTCCGCGAACAATATCATGCTCGGTGAAGGAGACAAGGTGAGACATTTGGTTGGCGAATAAAGAGAGTGGGTGGGTGAATGAGTGAAGGAGGGAGTGATTGATTGAGTGGAATTGGAATTGGAATCCACTATATGCAAAATTTGGCTAATAGTATAACTTAGTAGACACTCGAGGTGGTTGCATTATCACCAATCTCATTGTTTGACTCCGGAGCATTTCGGTGCTAATCCAAAGAGTATAGTCATGCTGTTGATTGAAGCTTTTGGTACATATTGTGGTTGATGTCGTTTTTTTAATTACACATCTTAATCTGGTGGAAATAATGTATCGCATAGTATGGAACACACGCTGTTCGTTCGTGTTCGTTCATTCAGACAGCTCGAATCCATGTCTCTCATAGGTGACAATAACGGATTTTGGTCTGGCTCGACAAAAACAGTGGGACACGTTCAAGATGATATCCACTGTCGGAACTCTTGTCTACTCTTGGTAAGTTCTTGAAACAAAGACCTGCACCTTCATCTGCCATCTCTGAATGCCCCACAAAACTTCGGTGTACTCAACTTCACCATACCATGAGTTGCTGTTCGGTACATAATCCCCCAACAGGAGTTCTATACTTACTGATGAGCCCTGTGGTATATAATGTAGCCTGTCACATAACTGTTCTGCTGCCGCGCTTTCAATGAAGGACTTCGTGTGCTGAGTATTCGGTGCTGCCCAACTGCGCACCGATGTAAACCGCATAGTGATGATATCACAGTGTTTTAGTCGCGTGCTTTAGACCCTATAGTCCGAGGTTCGAGCCCCCAACACCGCCACCCAACTTTGGTGGTAGGCAGCTTTGCTTTCGTCCTGTCCAATACCACGCCTAACCTAGCGGGGTCTTATTTGGTTCGCCACTCTAAGTTCCGGAGCTCAGCTTACTGGTTCCTGTCACTGAACAGCAGGTCCTCGTAGTTATCAGGCTCTCCCGTGTGTTGTTCATCACACTAAGGTCTGCATACAGTATCACTCCTAGTGAGGAATGCAAATCACTAGCTCACAAATTACATTAATACTATTTCATTCCATGCTACAATATTTGTACAGTCTGCAAAAATATGTATATACGTGCTATCGATCAACCTGTAGGGCGTGGATTGCTCACTGTTACCCTGCACCATTGTTACACATTAACCACCGCCTACATGATGATTCGCATAGATGATTCCTGTCCAACTAACAAGCTCTTTTACCGGCCGTCCAGATACACATCGTAACATATACTAGAAACACATGCGTGCACATTACCCTCATATTGGTCTCAATCATATACGTTACTGCAAAAACGCCATAGTCCATGTCGTTTCAGCATACTTGATTCGTTCTGACTAGTTCTAGTTGGCTTTGCGAGTCTCCGTGATGAACAGAATCGAAACTTTTGGAGCTTGTGTCTTCTGGCAAAGAGGTATGGAGTCAGCAGAACACAGCTCAACAACGTTTTCCTGAAGAAACAGTAGAGGGTGGCAAACAACGTCACAACCCAATCACCGAAGATGGGTGTTCTCGAATGGTTTGCTGAAATTAATCGCAAATAGTTTTCCCTGATTGTGATAGATGGACAGTAAAAAGCGTTGAACGTTTTAAACTCCATGTTGAACCTAAATGAAGAACCTTTGAACTTAAATGAAGATGTGTCGAAATTAATGAGGCTGGTCTGCGACTCATTTTCCCACTATTCCACTTCGTTTTCGGATACGAATTCCCGGGTTCGATCCCCAGTTGGGTCGATGGATTCGCAGTGCTGATGAGACCCAGCCAGGTCGAAACAACTATCCAGTCCTTTTCAACTTTTCAGCTCAAGCCTCATTTACACGATGAATTCATTATCTAAGTCCCGTTAGCTCAGTTTGCTCCTGATAGGGGGGCCTGATTTGGGGGGAAATGAAAATGCATACCCGTTTTCTCGTACAGTCAAATCGGGATATTTTATCCACAAAATTTACGCTTGTCAAGTTTTGAGTGATCCTTGTCGAAAAAGCCCTATCGGAAGTACATTCGATTTTTTTAACCTTCAAACAAAATGCCGTGCTTAATCAGTTCCTCTCCGAATTTTTCACTACGCTACCTCTCTCCCCATTTGCTTTCCAGTCCTGAAATTGTACAGAACATCCCATACGGTGAGGGAGTAGACATTTGGGCCTTAGGATGTATACTTTACCAGATTTGCACATACACCCCACCGTTCCAGGCAGAATGTATCCTAACTGTGGCCTCACGTATTGTCAAAGGAGTGTATACCCCGGTGGCCGAAGTTTGTCCAGGACTGTATTCTCCATTGATGGATGAGGTGATTGCAGTCTGTCTCACTCCAGACCCCACCAAGCGTCCAGATATCCTGGGTAAGTGTGTTTGTTATTTCATATGCTACATAGTTTGGTTTATCAAAAATCTCCATCTGCTTTTCTTCCGACATTTGAACTCCAAATAGGCACTATACTTCGTATCACTTTCTGTGACTTTGTCCCATGGGAGGTTCGTTTGAAATCCCTAACTGTTTCTTCACTTTCTATTTGATGCCTGTTCTTTCGATCTCTCACATGTAACCTATGTGAAACAAAAGCGGTTCATGTTCTTGCTTGACCCAATCCCACACCGAATATTCACTCACTCAGCTCGGTTCCGTTCTTACAACTATTAACCATGCGCTTTCGTGGGGCGGTTTTTGGTCGCTATCTCTTGTCTGTCCATTAGAATGAATGAAGGAGTGAAGGTAGGATCGGAAACTTCTAGTTATTGTCATTGTGAAAACACGGAAATCATGAGGATTAACTTTGCATGTGCATTAAGTAGATGCATGAGAGCCATGGTTTACGAGACTCAGTCATGTCACTCAGGGTATTTAGCCATGCGTTACGTTGATCCTAAGGTCCCCATCTAGGATGCCTAATGCGATTTATGTGAGCAAATTTCCTGGTCACGGTTTTCCTACCTGCATGCCTGGTCTTAGTTTGACAAGCTTTTAATTTATTCCACGCATCACCTGTCTTGGTAAACAACCCGCGCCGTGGCAATCTATTTGGCCACTTGCGCAGCACATGGCCCAAGCAACGCAATCTATGTAGGTCAACCACTTGCTCCAGTGGGTGACCGAGGTTACCCAAATCTCTGCACCTAACCTCAGCACTACTTGTCCGGTTCCCCTACCAGACTCGTGGGACGCGTCATGGACAAGGGTGTTCGAAAACTGACTGTCTCTGTGCCGTGTAGCATAACTGGCAGAAATGCAGCTGCATACATTTGACCCTTCACAGACAGCCGGACGTCGCG